GAAAGAGGAAGCAGTCTCCTTCTGTAAAGATTTCTGGCCTTGGAAACTCTATGGGGCAGTTCTACTCTGTCCTACTGCTCACTATGAGTAGGAACCGATTTGAGGCAGTGGGCTTGGTTTGATTTATCCTGTGTGCACAGAAGGCCAGTGAGATCTCAAATCAAAGTCTAGAGCCAGTGTGGCCCTGTTTTGGAGATCTAACATAGAGGTATCCAGGAGGCTTAGTAAGGTTGGATGTGGCTGTGGGCGTGCCTGGCGGCAAGTACAGAGGGAGAGGAGGGCCTATTACAGAATCTTCATTGGAATGCAGGAGGAGGCTATAGCGTATTGGTGAGGACACAGGCATGGAGTCAGAAGATGCAGATTTGCAACCTCTCACCTGAAAAATGGGGATCACGTTAAATTCATGGCATGGGCAAGGGAGGTAGCAGGTAAGGCATTGACGTACTTAGCTGTTAGGTGCCGTTGAGTTGGTTCTGACTCAGCAACCCTACGTACAACAGAACACTCCCCAGTCCCGTGCCATCCTCACAACTGTTGTTATGCTTGAGTCCATTGTTGCAGCCACTGTGTCAATTCATCTCGTTGAGTCTTCCTTTTTCAGACCTTTTAACTTTACCAAGCATCATGTCCTTCTCCAGGACTGGTCCCTCCTGATAACACATCCAAAGCATGAGATGTAGTGCTTTACTATTTTTAAACTGCCATATGGACACAGGTATTATTGTAGAAGATGAAGTAGGCAAACACATAGGAGATGCTCTGGCCTGATTCTCAACCCCAACAGACACTCCACAGAAACTTTGGGGGGCTTTTTGAAATCCAGATTCCTTCAGGCCCCACTCCACACTAGCTGAACAGAATCATTCGAAGTGATACTAATCTGCATCCAAGGGTTGAGAGCCTCTACTCTAAAGGTTTTTTTTTGCCCAATTGGTGACGCCACCTAGCTATCAGTAAGGCATCTCTTCATGTCTTTGACCTTGAACTTTGCAAAGACCATCCTGATCTCACTTCACTTCCTGTGTTACTCCTATGGCAGCTAGGTCTAACTGCAGCACACCAACATAAAGACAAAACAAAAAGTTCCTAGCTGTCAAAAGGCAGTCGGTTCACGGTTCTGGTGCTGTAGTGCCTAAAGCGTTTAACTGCTTACCAGAAGACTGACGGTTCAAACCCACCAGCCACTCCTTGGAAGGAAGATCAGGCAATCTACTTCCGTAGAGATACCGCCTTGGAAACCCAAGGAGTCACTATGAGTAGGATCCAACTTGACAGCAGTGAGTCTGGTTTGTTTTGACTGTGTATTAAGCAAAATGCTTTGGTGAAAGAGATTTAGGGACTTGTCCAAGGCCATCTAGGTACTGGACCCCTCAGCCTCTTTCCACTGCAGGCTGTGGGAGATTTTGGTGGCTGGTAGCCCAGCAGAACACAAAGGCCCGCTATCTGGACAACACCTGGATCATGTGTGCATGCATTTTGGCGCATATGTGCCCGAGTGCGCGCGCCCACACTTTCACAAACACACACACTCACAAGCAGTTGTCTCCAACCTGAACTTGGGAAGCGTGCTTTAAAAGAGTTCCTTTTATGTGCCTGAGAATATACAAGTCCCGAGTAGAGGTCTGAGAGGCTTATATAAATTGAGAGATTAGTGAAATGCCTTGGGTAATAGAAAACCAACGAGAAACTGTGCTGGTTATTGCCCCTGGGCCTGGCTGGCTGGCTGGCTGCCTACAAGTTAGAAAGAACTGCCTCTGTCTGGCTGGTGCCCCTGGGACAAGCCTCCTGGCGACCTAGCAGTAGACCCTGCCAGGGAAGACTAATTGGCTTGAGTGCTCCCTGCCTGTGGATAGATGCCTGCAGTGACAGAGATGGTGGTGGTGGTGGTACTGGGTTCAGTTAACATATACAAGGTATATGATGCTTCCTCATGCCAATCTTAAATTCTTCTGACTAAATCCTTGAGTGAGCTAGGATGGCAGAAAAAAAAAAAAAAAGTTTTCACAGAGTGGTTATTAGTTCCTCATCCATCCCCTGGCCAGCTATGATTTGTTCTGGAATGTCAGTTCTGGGAACAAAGTACATACCACAAACTTTATTTTGTGTAAATGAGTTTATTGACGAAGACAGAAGGTCAAGCTTTCCCCAAACCCCCACCCTCCCCAAAACAGATCCCAGCAATAACAAAAGAATGACAAGCATTCTTAGGGCAACATTTACCTCCCCCCCCCAACATTTCTCTCCACATCCCAAGCTTCACAACACAGACACATGAAACAGGCTTGGGAGAGAACAGACACTCAAGGAATCTCTGACCAGCAAAAGAGTTCTGGGTGTGTGTTTGCTTCCCTTGCCCTCTGTACTGATGCCAGCCGGCAATTACAGACATACTGAGGCTGAGGACTGGGGATTGCAGGGCAACTTCCACTTCGCTTCCCGGATTCAGCCCAGCTTGAAATGGGCCAAAACAGAAGGTGCGGTGGAAGTAACAGGTCTCTCTTCAGGAAAGAAGTCCTTCTACAATAAGCAGAATCCTTTCCCAATTCTGCTCAGGGGTGGAAAGGCCAGCAGTCTCCCCGAGGAACAGAGTTCATGGATTGGTTCAGTCAGGCCAGCTGAGAACAGAGGCTGTTATCCTCCACTCGTGGGGAGACTGAGCTACTAAGCCTAGTTCTAGGGGTTGAGGACACCTTCTCATAGAAAATTGTCTTCTGTTTGCTTGTCCTGACAAATACTCCTCGTTCTGGAGCTACAGTGTGCTTTGGTGGAGAACACTCTATTTGTAGTGTGAACCCTCTTTCACTGCTTGTAACCACTGATTCCATGAACGATTCCCAACAAGAGAACTTTATCCACCCCACGTAACAGTGATCTACCCACCTCGCACACAAAATCCTGCGCTGCTTCTTACTCCCCATGCTTGAGGGGTGGTGAGTGTAGGACATATTTCTTTCTCCCACCCCAACAATTCCCTTGGAGAGTCTCAAGGCTTAAGAACTGCTTTGAGGGCCCCATTTTCCTAGGCTTTGCACCTATATGAATCAGTGTCATTTCAAGCCTTACAGGGTAGTGGGAAGGTGGTGGTATTTCTGCTCTTGTTGTCTTTAATTCCTCCTTTTGGACTCACTCAAAGGTCTGAGTCCATCTTGAGGCCTCTCAACTTTGAAGTGCCTCTGACTGGAGCAGGGGCATTGAGAGGAGCAGTCTTGGTCATGAACCCTGAATACTGGGTGCCAGGCAAGGTAGCAAGCAAAGCAACAAGAGCTCACAGATGAAACTGTGAGCACTGCTAAGTAAGTTGGTGTTCTGGGCACAAGTCATTCTTTAACAAATCATACCCAATATGCTAAGCAAGGGATTTCACATGTCTCAATCTTCTGAAAGATGACAAGAACTGCTTGACCCTCTGAGATGATCTCAATTTGCTGTGGAATCTAAGTAACATGAGTAAAGGGCAGATCAGACAGCTGGAGGGATGAAGTTAATTTGTGACTTACTTCACCTCTGCACTCACCCTGCTGGCCTCAAGAACTGCAGCTTCACGAGCATATGGGGAGATGCAAGCTACTCCTTCATTTTGGCATCTGGAGTTACCTTTAAGTAATTGAAAAGATACTCTGCTGCCACCTGATGCCAATGAATGGAGTGCTGGAATCAGTGTGGAGCATGTGAACAGCCACAAAAAAGCAGGCACAGAAAAGGCAGGAGGAAGGCAAACAATGAAAGACAGTCTTGCAGTGAAAACACTGATCTAGGAGGATCGGCCCCAACTCCGCTACTAACCAGCTGACAAGCCTCGGGTAACAACTCCCTTTTTGCCTTTTATTGTTCTTCATAGAAAAACAAGGTTAGATAAGTTATTACTTAAAGTCTGTTTCAACGCTACTACTCTGTGATTTTGGATGTGAACTAGGCTTGAGAAATAAAGGAAAGGGATGAGGGAAAGAATATTTTGCTTACCAATCCCTATCTCTTTTAAAACTCCTTAACCAATGTTATTTGTGGGTTAGTTCAGGGGAAAGGAATGTTTTAAGTTCTAATTTTTATCAGCCCTGGGACTGACAGGCCCTATTCCTTGCACTCTGAAACATCATTCAAGGAAGTACACCATTCCTAACTGCAGAGCAATTAAACAAGATGATACTATGTTGTTGTTGTTGTTGTTATGTGCCGTCGAGTCGGCCCCGACTCATAGCGACCCCTCCTTGGGTTTCCGAGGCAGTATCACTACGGAAGTAGATTGCCCTATCTTCCTTCCGAGGAGTGGCTGGTGGGTTTGAACCGCCAGCCTTCTGGTTAGCAGTCAAGTGCTTAGGCACTATGCTACCAGAGCTCCCAGATGATACTATAGGGCAGGGGAAATCACAATGCCTGGCCAAGGAAAAGGAGTATGGAGTAGAAAAAAGTGAAAATCCAAATGACGAGGGACAAGGCTGTCACAGATAAGAGAACTCCTAACAGGGTGGGACAAGTAACTGTGCCCCTTTCTCCAGGACTGTGTAGTTAATGATGGGCAGTTGTTTTAGCACTTTTACTGTTCATACTACTCCCCCAATTCCTAATATGTACAAAAATATAAAAACAATAAAGTGCAATTTAAGTTTCATGACATTTTTCCTTGCTTTAATTTTTTTTTCCCCTTTTTCTGCTTTTGAAATGAGCTCTCGATTACAAAATATCACACTACACTCAAAAGCGGGTGTAGAAAACACCAGCCATTGGCACAACACAGAGAAGCCCACGAGTAAGGACAGATAGCAGCAGCAGGTGGCAAGAAGTGGGAAGCAATTGAAGCAGTGGTTACAAATGTTCACAGGAAGCTAAAAATTTCCAGCAGGTTGTGCCCTAATGTTAGTACAGGTTAGACTAGTCACTACCTTGGTGGGTGGCCTCAGTGTGTCTGGGTTCAGATTCTACACATCAATACAATTTCTTCCAGTTAGGAGCTCTTGGCTTGCACCAATCACAGGGTGGCTGGAGGACACTGGACCAGTCCATTAGTTTTTCAAAATGCTGTCATAAACCTGATAGATGTACTGAGAGACTTCAGGAGCTCTACACTTCAGCGACAGCTGTTAGGAGCAAAAGGAGAAGGAAGATTAGCATAAGGGTTGGCATCCAAGTAGTCAGTTTAAGAAAACCTCTTTCTGACACAGTAGAAAAGGAGGTTCTATCACTGGAACAGCCAAACAAAGAAATCATGCTAACAGCTATTCTGAGCTTTAGAATTTCAATGTAATCAATGTCCAGTTGTGCTATGTTTCTACCTATATTCTGTGGGTCTACGAGGGTAGGAAATAATACATATTACAAACATCAAAGCATTCTGATTGTAAGGGAGTATCTGTTCTAATGCTTTGCAAAGAGCCTTAAGGATTACTGCTAAATAAAAAGGCAAGAGCTCAAACTCTTCAACTGTTGATGGTCATTTCAGATGTCTTAGGTTCTTCAGACTGACAAGAAGGTTTGTTATCCCAGTTCTAATTTCCGAAGGATACACAAGCAAGTAAAACAAAAGCATAAGTTAGGTAAGTCCAAGTTACCAGTTCTTTTTGTACTATATTAAGATTATACACTGTTAAGGACGGAAAACAAGAACAGAAAAATATTTATTTAATATAACATGGACAGCACTCCACGTCAGTGTCTTCGTGTTTTCCCCACTGCCTTTTAAAAAAGAGACAGGCAACTAGCATCAGTATTAAAAATATTTTAATGTTGAGTATTGATAATCTTACTTTGTGGGTCAATAGGATAAAATTTAAATCCAGACTTCAACTTCCTAATTATATTATTAGATAAGGTAAAATATCATTAACAAAAATGTAACATTAACTAGTTGCTCTCTAGTTGATTCTGACTCCTGGTGACCCCATGTGTGTTAGAGTAGGACTGTGCTCCATGGGGCTTTCAATGGCTGAGTTTTTGGAAGTAGATGGCCAGGCCTTCCCTCTGAGGTGGACCTGAACCTCCAACCTTCCAGTTAGCAGTTGAGCATTGTTAGCCGTCTGCATCATCCAGGACTTGTGAATATACCATTAGAAGCATGCAAAATGCATTCCAGAACAAGAAATAATTGTTCACTTTTTTCCTGTATTATTGACATTGTTTGTTCTCATCTATTGGGGTAGATCAGCAAAATTATATGAAATTTTAGATTATTTTACCTCATTATTCTCTTACCAGAGACTAGAGACTTTGGATTTAACATAGTACAAAAGCTATAAATATCTTTGGAAAAAATATCAAGAAGATATCAGTTAATCCTGAATTTTTTGAAAAGATTAACATCCTAAAAACTTAAAAGTGAAATTTAAAAATGCAAAAATGTTAAAAAAATCAAAAGAGGCTTTCTCTTTAATTACATTTAATATTTATTCTCCAAGGCATTTTCAAACTGCTATTTGATTTTAGTCAAGAATAGAATTCTGATCATGTAAAACAAAAACCATCTAATCTAAGAATTTAAGTATGCATGGAAAACAGCTCTCTACTTCAGTCAAATCTGCAGCTATAGGCATTTCCCCAACTTTCAAACTCTGTACAGAGGCAAGTTCCTGTACCTCCTCTTCCACAGCCTCTCCACTGTCAATGTTGTAGAAAATTCTATTAGGAGAATATATGGGTTCAGAAAAGAGAGGCGAGGAAGCTATAAAGAGAAAGATCAGCTTAAGGAAATTAACTCTCAGACTAAAGAGGAGTAGTATCTCTCCTCTGAAATGCTGTCCTATATTTTTCATATCTTTGTAATAATACTTTGAGTTCGATCAGTTGCAGATTCATTTTTATTCATAACTAGTAAGGAAACGTTACCTTATTCAATAAAAGCCCAAACTGCCAAAGCTGGCATTGGTGGGAGTCATGGAGTGATCAAGGCTTGACCCTGAGAATGTCATCTGCTTTTTGGAGGACGTGAGAGGGGCAAGAATATACCACATATACCAGCACCACCACCACCCTTCTTGCTCTTAAATAGCTACCACAGTCCTGGCCTTTAACAAAGGGTCAATATGAAACCTAAACCCCTCCCTTGCTTGCCAACTAGTATAGCTAAGGCAAGTTAGCATTAAAAAAATAATTTATTTTTGCTAAATCTCACAGGAAACATGAATCTAAATATTCTGATTTTTGCTAAATCTCACAGAACAATGAATCTAAATATTCTGATTTATAAAATAGAACTAGGACTCCAGGTCTCATTCTGTATGGCTCCTGGGGAAAAGAGATTTTACCTGGGTTTTAACTTTCAACCACTCAGGAACCTTGCCCATCTAGACCCACACTCCTGTTTAATTAAAGCCAAAGGCTTACCCACCCACAGCCCTGGCTTCTAGTCTGGAAAACATGCTTCTTCACCTGGAACAAGATATGTTTCCAGGTGAGACTTACCTTCCTGGAGAGATATGGCCTCATTCTTGTAAGATAAAGGTAATTATGGAAGATGGACCACTGGGGAAACTGGGAGCTCACTGAGTTATTTCTACAACTGCATGTGAATCTACAATTACCTCAAAATAAAAAGCATCATGGCCTACCCAAGCTGACATAAAACTAACCACTGCAATAAGGGAGCAAATGTTCTTCAATGGGCAAAACGGATAAACTGGTCCATCCATACAGTAGACTACTACTTGGAGATATAAAGGAACAAACTACCAATATAATCAACAACTTGGATCGATGTCAAGAGCATTGTGTTCAGTGAAAAAAACTTAAAAGTTTACATGTTGTGTGATCTCAAATTATATAGTACTCTCAAAATGACAAATTATGATGGAAAACAGATCAATGGTTGTCAGGCAGTAGGGCTGAGGTGAGAGTCTAACTATAAAGGTATAGTACAAGGGAGTTTTTGTGGTGACAGAACAGTTCTGTATCCTGACTGTGGTGGTGGTTACCCAAACATACACATGATAAAACTGTGTAGTACTATGCATACCCCACCCCATCACAAGAGAAAAGAAAAAAATAAAGAGTACATATAAAAAAATGGAAAAATCTGCAAACAGTCTCTAGTTAACAGTATTGTGTTGTTGTTGTTGTTATGTGCCTTTGAGTCAGACCCGACTCATAGCGACCCTCTCCTTGGGTTTCTGAGGTGGTATCACTACAGAAATAGATTGCCCAACCTTCCTTCCCAGGAGTGGCTGGTGGGCACTAAGATCAATTTCAAGGTTTTTTTTTTTTTTAATTGTTATTTGGGTGAAAGTTTACAGAGCAAATTCACTTTCCATAAAGCAGCTCACACATACTTTGTGTCTCATGACATTGACTACAATTTACCCCAATGCAACAGCTCCCCTCCCATTTCCTCCCGATAGTTACCTCTTTCCTATGTCCCATCCCTCCATGCACTCCTGGCCCCTGATCTGTCTCCCTGTGCATAAACAGCCCTTCTTTCTCCCATGATTGTTCTTTCCAAGGAGTGTATCTATCTCAGGTAAATGTTTAACTCATATGCCTATCTTTTGTTTGGTTGGAAGCCACAGGAGTGGGTTCAATTCTAGACTTGAAGGGCAGCTAGGGGCCATAGTCTCAGGGCTTCCACCAGGCTCTAGCAGACCAGCAAACCTGGTCCTCCCTCTTTTTTTTCCCAAATGTTTTTGAGTTTTGTTCCACATTGGTCTCCCTCTTTATCCAGGATCTCCTACATAGATCCCCCTCCGAGTGGTTGCCAGCAGTAGCCAGGCACCATCTTGTTCTTCTGGTCTCATAGCCATATAGGTTGTGGATCGCATGGTGTACCAGTTACTTGGACTAATTGTTTCCAAGAATCTTTGGTTTTCCTCATTCTTCTTTGCTCTGGACGAGGAGAGACCCATCATTGCATCTAGATGGCTGCTTGCAAGCTTTTAAGATCCCAGTTGCTACTCGCCTAAGTAGGAGGTGGAACAATGTTTTGTATAGTATGTTATGCCAATTGACCTTGATGTCCCCTGCGATTATGGTCCCAAGCCCACAGGTTCAACTACTTGCTCCCTCTGGGTAGACAATTTCAAGGTTTTGAAAATGTACTATGGTGTTATCAATTGGAAACCTGGGTAGAAGATAAATAGAACTTTTTTAAAACAAAAAGTTAAAAAAAAAAACCTCACAACTTTTAACGAACCATGTTTAGAATAGTTATACTAAGAGAGCCTTTTCAAAATTCTATCATTACAATAAATAGAAAGAATACAGTAGAACATGTCAAGAGACCTGAATTCTAAACACTCATCCACCAACAAATTATATGATCTTGAACAAATCATTAATCATTTTTAACCACGGTTTCCTTTTCTGCAAATGCTTCTCTTACTTAGCTGAGATGAAAGATTGTATACAATAATGGGCAGGAAAAACACAAAAGTCATATCATACACATATGCATATACCTACATACATATGTAAGTCCGTATTCCTCATCCAAGTTCAAACATTTATAGACAAAACTTATACCTACATTTGAAAGCTAGGGTCTGTTGGAATCACTTGTCACCTTTTCATTAAAGCCACAAAAGGGATTCTCTTTTAAAATTCTTTTAATGACTAATTTTAGTCTCTAAGAATTAAGTGTAAACCACAGAGGTAACTGGGGGATATGCAGCAGGTTAGACAGGGTGTGGGACTGGGATACTGCAGTTCTACAAAAAAACACACTCTACCTCCTAGCATAATACTGAATCCCTAATTCAACACTAAGTCACAACCAGAACAATGTATGCTGGGGGTGAAGAGGGGGGAAGTGGTGTTTGATTTCAAGGCTGCTGTACTTTAAGCAATCTTCTAGAGAAATGCGTGGTGTTCTTTTATAGATCTCAATTTTACAGTGAAAACCTGTCTTCTAGGAACAGCACAGTGTGATTTACCTTTCTGGGCAACTCAAGGGAAATGTTGGAGTAGGTCACTCTTCAAAAAAGATGAGATTGTCTTCAGCCTATATGACTATGAGACCAGAAGAATTAGATGGTGCCCAGCTACCAATGTTAACCACTTGGAGGGGGATCTACATAGGAGATCCTGGATAGAGTGGGAGAATAATGTGGAACAAAACTCAAAATCATTAAAAAAAGAGAAAGGGACCAGGTTTGCTGGCCTGATAGAACCACAGAGACTATGACCCCTAGTTGCCCTTCAGGTCTGGAATTGAACCCACTCTCGTGGCTTCCAGCCAAACAAAAGATAGGCATATGAGGTGAATATTTACATTAGGTAGATACACTCCTTGGAGAGAACAATCATGGGAGAACAGAAGGGCTGTGTATGCACAGGGAGACAGCTCAGGGGACAGGAGTGCATGCATAATACATAGAGGGAAGGACACAGAGAAGATGTAACTATGGGGAGGAAGTGGGAGGGGAGCTGTTGCATTGTGGTAAATTGTAGTCAATGTCATGAGACAAAGTATACGTGAGCCACTGTATGGTAAGTGAATTTGCTCTGTAAACTTTCACCCAAATCACAATTAAAAAAATAAACAAACAAATAAAAAGATGAGATTGGTAGTGAGGAGGTGGGTGAGAAACATATACTTCATAGGGGTAACCTGAAGTTTCCCAGCTCACAGATCACTGAGCTAACATACAGTTTGATAGGACTTAGCAATTCAGACACACATGCTATGGCAGCTTACTTCGAGGGAGGGAATTGGGTGAGCAAAGGACCAGGAATTTTCAGTTCTGTGTACCGTCCTTTGGTGTATGCCAACGAAAACAGGCTTAGTTGACAAAACTAAGGAATATGGTCACAGAATGTGAGTTGAAATCGACTCGATGGCAGTAGGTTTTAGTGGGTTAATGGCTGCAAAATGAATGCTCCCTTGTGGCTAAAAGGCTCCCTTAGTCTACTTACTGTTCAGCTTCCTCTCTGTCATTTTCCTGACCCCTCCTTCAAAGTGGCCTATAAAAACCTCAAACACAACAGGGGAATAAGATACTTCCCCCCATTCCAAGGGTTTTTTCTTTACTTTTCAAAATGCAGATGACAAGGTGCATCCTACAGAGAGACCATATTTTACAACAGCAAGCAAATGCCCAGTGCTTGAGGTATGTATCTTTGTTGTTTAATGAAGCAATTGTTTCTGCTCTAAAAAGTATCACCAGAATTTTTATTTTAGTGCAATATACTACTTGCAGTGTAGTAAATTACTTAGTATGGCTTTTCTACCCATGAGTCATTGTAGACTCAGTGGTGGAATGAGCAACTGAGGAGCTCCTGATTGTAAATGTTATCTACCTGGGTTGTTTCTGTTGGGCATAGCACAACGCAATGTTATGGGAGGCTCACTCTCAGGTGCTTAGAATTCTGTTGTTATGATTTGTTGGTTTGGCCACTCTGTCAAGCTCAAAAGGAGGCCTCCTAGAGGCAGAACTCTCTCTGACTGCTGGTTGAGGAAGATGTGCTGCTGAAAGAAATACGCGCTCCTGAAAGAGACACGTGCTTCTGGGAAAGAGACTGTGAGAGACTGTTGGCTGAGGGATGGTGGGCTGGGAGAGAGACTGAGCATTTTTTCCTGAACTTGAATTGTAGCCTGGTGCTTCCCTAATAAACCCCATAATCTGTGAGTTCTGTGTGGCCACTGTAGCGAATTATCGAACCCAGGAGAGAGGTGGTGGGTGCTTTGGGGGGAATGGTTGGAGAAAGGGCTGGAGGGAGGCAGCATGTCTGGCCTCGCAGGAATAGGCCTTGGGCTACTGATGGTGATTCTGCCTTCCTCTTGTGGGGTTCTAGGAGGTCAGAATATGTGGCCTCCTTACCCTTTTTCTACTACTAAAGGAAGTTTTCTAAACTAAAGTGCCTTTACAGGGTGCCAAAGGTATGTTCTATTTCGCTTTACCTTTCACAACAAGCATTTCAGGTCATTTGATGCTGCTGAAAAAGGCTTGTGATGTGTTTATGACTCTGATATCCTTGGGTCATGAACTCCAAATGCAGGAAAATGTTTCTTAAAATTAACTATGTAAATAATCCTCTTAGCAGCTTATTACAGTACCATATATAAAGATATGACAGGTAAGAATTAACTGATATTGAGGATAAAGTTGCCAAGTTTTGTGAGCAACTCTGTATGTACCAGGGGGAGGGATGGATTTGAAGCACTCCTTGCTGCCAGAGGCACCAAGCCTGTGGGATGGGGCAGAAGCTACAGAGAAAAGGTGCTTCACTGAGGGAACTGGGGACTTCTTGACTGAATGTTTGCTTGGCTACCTTGGGTATGATGCTCGTTTTCGAGGTCTTTCCAACGTGCTAAGAAAAATTAAAAGGCTTCTTACCTCCCTCTTCTAACCCATCTCAATCATTCCGGGAAAGGGCTTACCGTATAATTGGGGTTTCCAGGCTGGATACGCAGCTCAGCCAAAATCCAAATGCCATTAGTGAGCTTCAGGGATTGGTACAGCATGTCCTGCCCTTCCACATTCCTCTTGGCAATAGTATAAACATTGTTGTTTTGCAATTTGCTGGAAACAGTATCTAGAAACACAGATTCAAAATCCAACACGTTCAGTTAAAATCCCAAACAAATGCATGCTAGCTGTCCTCTGCCACCTTTATGAGCCATGTGTGCTCCAGTCTCAGCCACGTGCACATGCACATATTTAAAGAAAGTCCTTCTCCCACACAACAGCAAAGGATGAGGAACAGGTGCCTGAAGTACCTGCTTCTCAGATTCTGGGAGAAAAAACAAAATAGGTGCAAACAAGCATTAATGCAAGAGTTATCTGTGGAGATTACGAAATGGGTGGGTTTAAGAAGTTAGTTAACTCCAAACTAAATGCTAGACAGGTAAAATGTTCAAAGAGGGCAATGTGAGATGCCACAGTGACTATCATGTTGGTACTCATTTCTGGAATGCTAGTTCTAGATTGATGGAGATTCAGAGACCCATGATTGAAATCACAACACTACTTATCCAAGTCACTACCACTTTACTGTAAGCCACTTTGGTCTCCACTGCCAGGGTCAGACAAGGGTATAGAGCTGCAGAAATCCTAGAATCTAAATCTATTAATGTGGATATTTAATTCAAAAATTAAACAAACAAACAACAACAAAAAACAGGCAAATGATTTCTTATGCCTTTAGGGAATATCCACAAATTATGCCTCCAAATTAATAAAACAAACCATCTTGACAAAAGACTTTGAGAAAGCATGAAATTGTGCAGAAGTGATCGCTACAAGGCCCTGAAACCTTGGCTGTTGCTGATGGTCACAGTGCATTCTTTGGCAGTGACCAACTCAGGGTTAAGGATAGGTTGGTGTTTCTGTTCTCCCTCATGATTACAGCACCAAAGATACACGACATGCCAGAATTAAAGGTGTTTCTCTCTCCTTGTTCTCTTACTGCTAATATGAGAAATATTGCAGCATCAGAGAAAGAGAAACTATATGAATAGAAGCATAAATATTTCTTCTTTCTGGATAGTTTATTATGTTCATTTCTAATGAAAATTCAAATTATTCATGTCTACTTTAGAAGTGAAATTCTCCCAACATAAAAATCTGTTGTATTATACAGTGCTCTCTAGGAAAGGCTGTCAAGATGGATGGTATTTCTAATCTCCTAGATGGTAAGTTCTCTCTGAACAGAGATCTTAGAGTTTTTTGTCATTGGGCTTACTATAGTATCCAGGAAACAACAGGTACTTGTCATCAATATCTCTGCACAAGTTTCTGACTCAGGTGTTGGAAATGCCAATAGGAACATAATGCCACAGGCATTAAAAACCATCTACATAGATGTGGGCTAATTTTGGAGAAAGTCTTGCCCTGATGCCTTCCTTCCATATTCAAACCAGTGACAACTCAGGGGAGAAGGCAGTAAAGCACCATTCGTTACACATTTTTTTCACCACATTTGTTATTACCTAACTTTTCCTCTTTTACTTCCAGAGGTTTTTTTTTTTTTTTTTACTAACACCAAGCTGAGTAGTTATAACTTAAGAATTGGTTCTATTTGAGATGCCACAAATGTACGTCAGGGTAGTTATATGCAATACTGCTGGAAGAGAGGGCCTCAATATGCTTTTCAAATCATCTTCATGGGGTGGGGTGGTCAAGCAGTACTGACTGACACCTTGGTTCTCACAATGAAGAGCTCTTACAGCTTAGGCTGGGTTACTAGACAACACCATCAGCTGAAATGTGGCTAATTCCTTTTAACAAGTGTGCTTTTAACACATGGAATCTTACTTTAAGTTGTAAAAGCCATTTCTAACTTTCAAGTCTCTTGCCTATTTTGCAGGGAAACCACACACAGTAGAACCCTTTGTTGATGAGTCACCTGTTGCAGAGGTACAAATATTTCTAGCTGGGTCCAGATTCCTACAGACTTCTCATGATTTCACCACCTATGTAAGATGCTGTAGATCATATGACTGAACTTTGCAATAGCAACGACTTATTCATTGAAAATGCCTTTTTCAACAACAGAGAAGATGCCTATACACATGGACTTCACCAGACGGAATACACAGGAATGAAATCAACTACATCTGTAGAAAGATGATAGTGAAGCTCAATATCATCAGTCAGGAAAAGGCCAGTGACTAACTCAGGAAGAGACCATCAACTGCTTGAATGCAAGTTCAAGTAGAAGCCGAAGAGAATCTACAAGAGCCAAAGTATGACCTTGAGAGTGTGTGTGTGTGTACAACCTATGTGAATTCAGAGACCATCTCAAGAAAAGATTTGAAGTCAATGGTGAAAAACAAGGCTCTACGAATTGACAGAATACCAATTGAGAATACTAAGGCTTGAAGACCACACAAATTATGGGATGACATCAAGTACATCATGCAGGAAGAAAACAAAAGGTCATTAAAAAGACAGGAAATAGAGAAAGTGGATAAATGGGATATAGGACCTAACTCTCTGTATTACTCCTTACAACAGCATGTGAATATACTTAAAAAAAAAAAAGGCAAGGAAGAAAGAAAAGATCAACATGGATGTGAGAAGAGACTCTGAAACTTGGTCCTGAATGTAGAGTGGCTAAAGCAAATGGAAGAAATGATGAAATAAAAGAGCTGAAGAGATTTCAATGAGTGGCTCAAGAAGACAAAGAACAGTATTACAATGTGCAAAGATTTAGGGTCTGAAAACCAAAAGGGAAGAACATGCTCAGTATTTTTCAAACTGAAAGAACTGAAGAAGAAATTCAAGCCCTGAGTTGCAATACTGAAGGATTCTATGGGCAAAATACTGAACGATGCAGGAAGCATCAAAAGAAGATGGAAGGAATACAAAGAGGCACTATACCAAAAAGAACTGGTCAACATTCAGCCATATTAGGAGCTAGCGTATAATTTAGACTATTGAAAGAAGAAGTCCAAGCTGCACTGTAGGCATTAGTGAAAAACAAGGCTCCAGGACTTGAGATATTTGAGCAAATGGATGCAACACTGGAAGTGCTCATTTGTTCATGCCAAGAAAATTGGAAGACAGCTACCTGGCCAACTGACTAGAAGAAATCCCTATTTGTGCCCATTCCAAAGAAAGGTGATCCAACAGAATGCACTTGACTGCTAACCAGAAGGCTGGTGGTTCAAACCCACCAGCCACTCCTCGGAAGGAAAGTTGGGCAATCTACTTCTGTAGTGATACTGCCTCGGCAACCCAAGGAGGGATCACTATGAGTTGGGTCCGACTCAATGGCACATAACAACAACAACAAATTATTATCACAAGTAGTAAAATATTGCTGAAGATAATTCAAAAACTGTTGTAGTAGTACATTGACAGGGCTAGAAATTCAAGTCAGATCCAGAAGAGGATGTGGAACAAGGGATAGATATCATTGCCAACGTCAGATGGATCTTGGCTGAATGCAAAGAATACCAGAAAGATGTTTTATTGACTATGCAAAGGCATTCTACTGTGTGGATCATAACAAAATACAGACAACACTGCAAAAAGGGTGAATTCTTGAACAATTAATTGTGCTCATGCAGAACCTGTACATAGACCAAGAGGCAGTCATTCGAAAAGAACAAGGGGATACTTTTACTGGGTGGTTTAAAATCAGGAAATGTGTGCATCAGGGTTGTATACTTTTACCATACTCATTCAGTCTTTATGCTGAGCAAATAATCCAAGAAGATGGACTGTATGAAGAACGCATCAGGATTGGAGGAAGACTCCTTAATAACCTGTGATATGAAGATGACAGAACTTGGCTTACTGAAACTGAAGAGGACTCGAAGCACTTACTGATGAAGATCAAAGACTACAGCATGGATTATACCTCAACATAAAGAAAACAAAAATCTTCAGAAACAGACCAATAAACAACATCATAATAAACAGAAAATATTGACGTTGTCAAGGATTTCACTTTACTTGGATCTACAATCAACGCCTATGGCAAACAGCAGTCAAAAAATCAAACAATGTATTGCACTGGGAAAATCTGCTACAAAAGACCTCTTTCAAGTCAAGTGTTAAAAAGCAAAGATGTCATTTTGAGGACTAAGGTGCACTTGAACCAAGCCACCAGTACTTTGAATCACCTCATATGCATGTGAAAGCTGGACAGTGAAGAAGGAAAACCAAAGAAGAACTTATGCCTTCGAATTGTGGTGTTGGCAAAGAATATTGGAAATACCATGGGCTGCCAGAAGAACAAACACATCCGACTTGGAGGAAGTACAACCAGAATGCTCCTTAAAAGTAAGGATGGCGAGACTTGGTCTCATGAACTTTGGATATATTATTAGCAGGGACCACCAGTCCCTGGAGAAAACATCATGCATAGTGAAGTAGAGGGTCAGGGAAAAAGAGGAAGATCCTCAACAAGATGGACTGACACAGTGGCTGCAGCAACGGGCTCCGACAGCAACGGTTATGAGGATGGTGCAGGATTGGGCAGAGTTTCGTTCTGTTGTACACAGGGTTGCTTTGAGTCAGAACCGACTGGACAGCACCTGACAACAAGGTAAGAGATGGTAGGCTAGGAAACAGAAAAACACACTCACTCACTCTTTCCAGAATTAAAAATCATGGCAAATAGCCAGGTAGTATAAGCAAATTGAATGGATATAACTGGAATATATTTGGAAGCACTGGCCAGGAATCCAGTTCTGCTTCTATTGAATGGCTGCATTATTATTTCTATCAGCAGATTGAAAGCAGAAGGTTTTATAACATAAATATATGTGAATCAATTCTTATAAATTATAGATATTAGGCTTAAGTTGAAGATTTATAAGATCTGTATAATTTCTGGAATACAGGACAGGCAGACTTGGTAACTATACTTATTAAGACTAGAAATGGGAGCCAGATGTAAGGAGGGAGCCAGTCTGGGATAGACTTCTTGACAATATGTAATTTTTTTCCTTTTCACATACTGAACCCCTGGGAAACATGAGAGAATTATACAGTTGTAAGATTCTGAGCGTAAGAACATACTGTTAATTGTTTCAGTGTGTGCTAATGGTATTATGGGAAGCACAAGACACTGAGACCTGTTCGAAAGCATAGGAGTAGAAAAATACGGTTGTCTTATTTATTTAGTACTGATACAGCAGAAATATCACAAGTGGGTGGCTTTAACAAACAAATTTATTTTCTCATTAGGAAGTCAGAAGTCTAAATTCTGGGTGCTGGCTCCAGGGGAAGGCTTTCTCCCTATCAGCTCTGGAGCAATGTCCTTGTCTCTGAGCTTCTGCTGCTGGAAGATCTTCAGATGGCTCTCTGCTCCTGCTTGCTTGTTTAATCTCTTTCATATCTCAAAAAGAGACTGGTTCAAGATACACCCTTACACTGATCCTGTTCCATTAACATAACAAAGACAATCTATTCCCAAATGGGATTATAACCACAAACACAGAGGTTAGGATTTATAATACATACTCTGGAGGGACACAATTCAATCCATTAACAATGGTCAAATAGGGGTATACTTGCTTCGGTATGTGAGTTCTTCTGGTTCATTTGTATCCTTCTCCAAATTTGGCTCTTTGGGTCTGGGGCGTAAAAATTTGAAAGTGTGTATGTGGCTTTTCTTCCTTCATATTCTCATTTAGCTAATTCCATAGCTCTTCTAGTAGCAATAAAGGTGAAGAGGGTAACTCATACCACAGAGAATGGGGGAATCTGCATTTGAGGCCCAGCTATGGTATTCATATTCTAAGTGCTTCTATGAACAAAAGCTTCCTTTGTCATGTGACCAGAAGAACTGGATGGTGCCTGACTACCATTACTGAATAATTTGATCAAAGAGACCGTAGACAAAGTCTGATCAAAAGTGGGAATATACAGAATTCCAAATTGTTATGGAATACAGATTTTTTGGAGCCACTGAGGGTGGATGAAAAACTGATACTGTTACTCTAAGATAATCTTTAAATTTTAAACCACAAATATCCACTGAAGTCTTCTTTAAATCAAGTAAGTTAACCTATTTAGTAAAGAATGCTCTTCAGAAAAAGTATCCATACTTCTGTTACCAAATGGGTAACAGCAACTTGAAAGGTTAGATAGGAAGCTTAGTGGGCAGTGAGTTCACATTAATGGAAAAGAAGAGAGAGAATGTACAACTTGAAGAATATAATAAATGTCAATGAATTGTACACGGAGATAAGTGAAAATGGTTGAATTGGTTATGTTTTGCTGTGTATATTTTTAACAATGATTGAAAAACAGTATGACTTGCTGAAAAGAACACTTTTCACCATTTAAGCAACGGATAGGGAGAGCCATGACAAAATAAAGACATACAACTCATTCTCACCTAATTTCCATATAAGAAGATTTTTTTCCCTTCAGTGCCTAACTAGTAAAAATAGACACATCATGTCTCTGAGCTTTTCAAAGTATAATAAATATTTAATTTAAAAACAAAGTTAGTAGAACTGTTTGCCAGAAAGATTCTTTTCTGGATATGGATAGAGATCTAACTACTTCTTGGACACTTAAGATAGTGGTTCCAGAGACATACTAACTCCAAATGCAGGTATAATGATATGATACAAAACAATTCATACAAAAACTCTTGACACCTGTAGAGATGACCAGTATTAGGAAGCAGGAAGTCCCACACACTAACGCCTATCTAATCTAACATTTTGTAGTATTTACACAATTAGTGGCACTAACCCTATCACATACACCTTTCTATTTAAATCTGATTTAAAACTTTGAAGGAGAATTTTTCTTCTTTATTCTCTAAAAAGAGATGGAAGACAAAGCAAAGCTCAACGCTAAGATGGTGAGCCCTATAAGGCTGTGCTTTCCTATAGCCCTCAGAGTGTTAGTTTCATCTGTCAAATGCCTATGTTGGCACAGAAAAGCTATTTAAAGTGTTGGTGCCATTGTGATTAGGGCAGATCAGCTAGAAGGGTTGGTATTTTTAGCTCTCAGCTAGACCCAGGGTGTTGAATCAGATGGCACTAGAACTGAAAACAGTTGTGTTAATAAAGCTCTCTCAAGACTGGAAGGAAATGTAAAGGCCGGGGCACTCCAGAACTTAGGGTGGAGTCAAAGGAAGGGCTTTAAGGGATTCATCGCAGGAAGAGGTCTTGCAAGATCAGCAGTGATTCAGTGTGAGAAAATGATGGCTTTGGGTTCCTAGAGAAAACAGAGTGGCACAAGGCCATGGCAGAATTGATCAAAACGAAATTTGCTCTGAGAAACTGTTCCAGGCTCTATCAGAGAACACATTTTCACTGGGAGGATGGCCAGATCTGACAGGATCACAAACATAAAACAAGGTGGACTAAGGCTTCTAAACTCCAACCTGGAAGCAGGGGGGGTCTTTTCTTTCTATTATTCTGGCAGGCCAGACTAAAGCTTTCAGTCACCAAAACTTTCATTTCCCCCCACAAAAAGTCTCTCTTTCATACTGGACCACTGAAATCAAACCTGCTTTCCAGTTACTCTAGTTTTTCTCTGCTCTCTCTAGGTCAGCATTTCCCAGATTATGTTCAAGGTACATTGATGTCCCACAGATGTTAATAAGCACTATGTGATTTTAAGTATCATGGTCAAATAAATTTAGCCAACATTGAGTTAAATAGGTTGCCTTAAGGTAGGATTTCTCAGAGTTTTTAGCGTGTTCACGTGCAATGACAACTTCTAAGACAGGCATAACATATGCTATAGTTTTCAAATTTAATTAACCATAGTTCTCCTGCCCACACACCTTTCTTCTTGAGACAAGTATTCTCAGGAACACAGTACAGAGTTACTGCCATCAGACCAAACACTGTAAGAGGGACTGGTCTTTCCTCAGCTGGGGGCAGAGGCTGCTCCTCTACCAGGAATCACTCTGCCTCTTGCTATTAGCCACTGTGGAGTCTGCACATGACGGCTTCCTGAAGACTGGTTTATACTGTGGAAACGTGCTCAACCTCCCTTAGTCATCAAATAAGGTTCATGGTAACTGACCAATAAGCCTCAAAGAGAGGGACAGATAACACTGTCATTTACCTAGAGTATGGCGTGCACACACACACAAAACCCAATCTGAGTATAATTATTTTTGTAAAGTACAGAAAATTCTGGTTTTGCTTAATAGATACATAATCAGCCAGGATGAGAAACCTAGATTAAGACTATGTTAGAAAAATAGGTATGTGGTGTTTCTGAACAGAATCAACTAATTGGTTATGGAAATTTTAGAAGCCTCTGCTTCAAACACCTTTCCAAAGGCTCAGAAGTCAGATGATCATTATCAGAGGAAAACTTTCATCTGGAATTTTTACACTCAAAGATGCTGGTCTGTCTTGTATTTCTGAGAGTCCATGCAGGGCTTCTGATAATTTCAGAGAGGCCTATACATACATCACATGTAAAAGAGGATTCACAGCACGAGGCTGATTACTATCTGGTTGGATTTCAAACTCCTATTGGAAAGATTTATAGAAAAGATTTGTCTGAACATAGAAGATGAATATATCATGATGTTTCAATAAACTAAAATTAAAAGCAAAAAGTTGAAATAAGAAAACAGTGGTTTTCATTCTGAACCGCCACACTGTCTCTCTTCTCCAGTATTATGCTTGGTTGCAAAGGAAGAGTGACAACATATTGAAAACCCTTCAGCAAAGCCACCAATGTACAGAGAGGAAATGACTGGCAAATGAAGAAAGGAAAAACTGACCAAGCACCAAGGCTCACTTTTATTAAAACTCATACAGCCTTGTTAAAACAACAACAACACCACCAAAAACCAAACGCACTGCTATTGTGCTGATTCCTACTCATAGTGACCCTTACGGCAGAATAGAACTGCCCCAACAGGGTTTCCAAGGCTGTAAATCTTTACAGAAGCAGATTGCCTCATCTTTCTTCCATGTAGCAGCTGGCAAGTTTGAACTGTAGACCTTTTGGTTAATACCTGAATGCTATTAACCAGAGGATCACCAGAGCTCTTTATACAGCCTTGTACTAACCTTGTACTAAAACAGAGAACTGGAACAAATGCAGGATTCTGAACAGCTTAGTGGCCCCTTCCTCATGAGGAAAACTTCAGTGAAAAAAAGCCTAAGGACTGATAGTTGCTACTGTTTCTCCCCTTGGGTTACTTCTTTTTATGTTCTATTATAGGAATAAAATTAACTAAAGGGTCCAGGGCTTTATACTGATAATTAAAGGGATTATGTCATATGAAAGGTGACATGAAGCAGGAAAAGAAAAAGGTTACCAAGCAGGCTTTAATCAACTACCATGCATTTTCATTTAATTATAAACACAGGATTCTCAATGTAGCATTCTAATATTGAAGGGTGACATAAAAGAAGAAGTGGTCCTTCCAATTCTTAGTAGCATGCATATCCTCAAGGTCATTTCACTTATTTGAAGCTTAGGATGTTCAAGTAATATGTAATATGAAGACTAACATGTCTTCATCTACTGAAGAATTAGGTAAATACATCTATTTCAGTTTGTTTCTTAAATCTGTTAGCTTGTAAGTAAAACAATCTAGTACTTACATCAAAACATCTCCAAGATTTTAAAGGTAGGTTTGCAAAGTAATGCCTCTATCTTATACCCACAAACAGGGCAGAAGTGGAAAAGGTAAGTAAAGATAAAATTTTCAAATATCTGAAGTGATTTACTAAGATAAAGATAAAATTTAGAGTCCTTACTCACCAGCATTTAAATGACATTCCTTAATCTGAAACTGAAGTTCATTTTCATTGGGAATATCCTTCCATGTTGCAAGGAAGACCTGGCGCTCTGTATGAGGAAGCAAAAGGGAAGGAAGACGGTGCACCATTGTGAGTATCGTGATTTCTGATGCCTTGTGCCATTTCCCCTTTGAGGTGCTGGCTCCCTGCAATACAGCTAGCAGAAGCCTGGGACTGGAGCCAATACTTAACTATGCAGAGGTCCTACACTTCAGGTCGATTAAATCCACATCAGTGGTAATGAGATACAGTGCAAAGAGTTTAAAAGTCAGACCATCTGAGATTTTAGTTTTGGCTCCACTGTTTTCCTATTTGGGTAACTTTTTGTAAGTCTTATAACCTCTTGAGCCTTAATTTCCTCACATATAATTACATCTGTCCTGTCTACCCAAAAAGCCATTGTGAAAATCAGGTCAATTAAGTACTTACCAATATAATTTAATATATACCAGTATAAACTAGATTTATTAGACAGTGGTTTCAAAAGTAAGGGAAGAGAGAAATGTCAATAACATGAGGTATACTGAGAGTTTACTATAAATTACTGAATTATTATCTTGAGGGAGTAAGAACTTAGTTCAGGGATATTACTAAATTCAGAAGCCTTATTTCACTATTTATTATATAAACTATTCCTACTTTGCAAACCTGGAAACAGAAACTCAGAAAAGTTAAACACCTTGTCCATGGTAACACACCTTAATAAATGGCAGATGTGAGATTCCAATTCACGACTACCTGTCACCAGATCTCTTGCTTTGTATCCGGGGGTGGCTGGATTATTTAGGAAAATGGGTATTCTGATTTAGAGATCATGAGAAGAGCAAGAATAACTGCGCTTCAGGGGATACATAATTAGCAATTGTTAGAATACTCTTTCTTACCACATTTTTTTTAAATCTCAAAACAACTTGTACCTCTCTGGGGCTATGCTCTGTCTGACATTCAGAGGAAGGGTGGAAGTTTATTTGGCAAAAGAACAGGAGGATGTACTTACCCATTTTGCCATCTTCTACAAAAAGTACATTGAGAGGGATTAGGCAGCTGAAGTAGAAGACATCAATATTGTTTTTCACAGCCACCTGCCAGGAAGTAACAAGGGAAAATCAGGACATTATAGGAAGCCAGATAGGAGAGAAAGAATAGTTATTTGTCTAGAAATACACCACCTTATTTCCATCCTCTTTAGATAGTTCAGGTCTCCCCAAATCAAGACACAGCAGACTATACACTGCAAAGCACATCCCTACATATTTCACTGTCATAGCACTGTGACAACCTGCAACTCCACCTCTCCAGGAGGACTGTCTTCAAGGCATAACTTCCAAATCTAGAATGATCTATTAACTTATTTTCCATTTCTCTGGTATTAACAGTAGCTGCTATCACTTATTAAGTAATTACTAATTATATTAATTCTAATCTTTATTATAACTAATCCAAAAAAGTAGATATCATTCCCCTCTCATTTTACTGATGTGGAAACTGAGGTCAGAAAGATTAAGTAAGATGCAGGGTCACAAAGCCAGTGCACAAAAGAACCAGAATTCAAGCTCAGATCTGTCTAACCCTAAATCTCATTTGTTTTTTTCTCTGCACAGTAAGTAGAGCTATATTGCTCTGTTATCTTTTATTAGATACTGGTTTTAAAGTTGTTTGCTTGATAAAATCTTATTTCCTATGATACGAAATTGATTCTCATCTCAAAAAGGAGCCCTGGTGGCACGATGGTTGTTAAAGAGGTTGGCTGCTAACTGTGGGAGAAAAGACCTGGTAAATAGATGGTCACTGAGTCAGAATTGACTGAAACGTAAACAAGAACAACATGATGGGGAAAAGCTTATTGGGTCAAACAGTAGTAAACCTGACAGCTAAAAGAAGGGAAAGCCTTTAGGAAAATGAAGAAATGTGTTTTCTTCTCACAGTACAAACTTCTGACTTAGGTAGTAGGCTGTGATTCTACGATGGCCTGCTCATTCAGGAGATGTGGTTTATCATTTTTTAAAAGCCACAAAAAATACTTTACTCCAGGGCAACACTGACTGGTGTACATTCAGGAACAGGCAGATTCCACTGCAGCAGATCGTAACAACCATATATTATAAGAAGAGTAGGAGGACAGCTGTTTTAAACCACCACTTCCCACTGGTTTCAGTCACTAGCAGCTTTCTTATCTATGCTCTTGGCACTGTAGGAAAGTTTCTCTGGGCAAGTTCTGTGATTAGTAACCATGCCTATTTCTCTGACTTTTGTTTTTTTAAAAGAAAGAAAGAAGTGCTTATTATCTAGTACCAGTATTTTCCTCTCTATCCGCCCCTTTTTTGGGGCAAATGTCCACACTTCAAGAGCATACCTACCTCATCATCAAAATTTTGGCTATGAGATCCAAATATTCTCTTTGTGAAGTACTTCCAGTCTTTTTACATTATTAATAACTCATCTTCCTAACCTTCAATGTTTTAATTTCTTCTTCCATAATTGTTTGCTTATTGTCTATCTGATGTAGCCTTCTCTCTGAGAAGAATCCATCCTATTATTTTCTTTGTAACATGTGCTTTTAACCTTGCAATTACCAAGGTTAGGAGTTTCTGACTCATAGTGCATAGTTTGATGCCCAAATGCTGAAACAGAAAGATTCCCAAGAGTTTTGAGTCCGATGAATTTAAGCAGAGTAACTAACCTCAGAAAAGAGATTTATAAAGATAATCTTTAAGACATATTAGAGCACTACTTTAAAACATTTATACTAGCTGTCGGAAAGAAGTATTTTTCAATTCATCTGGTACTGAACAATAAGAAAAGGGAATTGTTATTCTAAACAAGGGCACCAAGATCTTGGGTACCAAGCTCTGTAAAGGGCATTTAGAAGTAAAAACTGGAGTGATGGGGGTGGGCCAGTGGTGGGTCATAAAGAGGTCTTATGTGCTATGCGGAGCTCTGGTAGCATAGTGCCTAAGGCACCTGAATGCTAACCAGAAGGCTGGTGGTTCAAACCCACCAGCCACTCCTGGGAAGGAAGGCTGGGCAATCTACTTCTGTAGTGATACTGCCTGGGAAACCCAAGGAGGGGTCGCTATGAGTCGGGTCCGCTTGACAGCACATAACAACAACAACAACAACAACAGCAACATAAGATACACACATCAATCAAGTGATTATCATTGATCATCTATCTTTGAATATAAAGCAGTCATATCTCACACTGTACCATTCATTTAAACATTTATTAATGTTTACCATGTTCCAAGCATTTGAGATACAAGGAAAGATTCAGAAATTATAATCCTCCTCTAGGGGATAGTATTAGTAGTTCTTAACTAAAGGCTTATACAGAATCATCTGGAGAGATTTTTCCAAAACAGATGTCAGGGCCTCATCTGTATAAAGAGTACAAAAAGCAAAAATACCCAAAGCCATTGCAGTCAAGTTGACTGACTCATAGCGACCCTACAGGACAGGGTAGAACTGCCTCACAGGGTTTCCAAGACTGTAATCTTTGCAAAAGCAGACTGCCACATCTTTCTCCCATGGAGTAGTGTTCTGGTTACCTAGTACCACTCCAAGAAGAATATACCACAAATGGGATGGCATAAACAAACAGGAGTTTATTCTTACAATTTGGAGGCTTTAAGTCCAAGTTCAAAGTGTCAAGTTCTAGGGGCTGGGTGAAAGCCCCTCAGCCTTGGGCTTCAGCTCTGCCTCCAGCTCCTGGCCCATTGAAGCTAGAGGCTTTTCTTCACTCAGACAGCTGCTGGCTGCTGAGGCTGCCAAGCCCAAGGTTGACAAGTAAAAAGGCACAGTCCTGATGTTACCAAACCACACAGCAGGTCATTAATTCAATCCCATTTTAAGTCCCAAAGTCAGCAGAGCATATAGTAGGCTGCTGACACAATGACATGGCTACATGCAGGGTCCAAGCATGCCATAAGTTAGAGACTAACCCCAAGGCTTCTCCTTATATACAGAAAGCAGACCACATCCCAAAGGCAGCTTACTCAGCTGCTTGTGGTAGGTCCCACCATGGAGTTGACTGCCAGTGTCATTATGAGGAATAACTACTACCAGCTGCCCAGCCACTCATGCAGGCCCAGCCAAGCTGACACAAACATAACTACCACAATTCCACCCCTTGGCTGGAATCTTACACATGCTCAAATATACTTCTACTACTATGCTAAAGAGAGACCAGGAAACATAAAAAGGCTTATTGGCAAACTATTATCTTACGGATCCTTGTTACCATGCCCTTTGTAAAATACCATCCTTTATAGGATCAACTGTATAGGTTACTCTTTGGAGAAGATTTCCATCCTTTTTATATTAGCTTTATAAATTCTGTATTTGGCAGCTTTTGAACTTTTCCCATTGGCTAGAACTACATTCATTTCAAGAATAAATAGGTCTTTTCCATATGTTAGGCCATAAAGCAAGCCTTAATAAATTAAAAGCACTGAAATACTGCAAAGCATCTTCTCAGATCATAATGCTATCAAATTAGAAATCAACAATAGGAAGATCAACAGAAAAAGAGTAAACA